AATGTGTTGTGAATGTGGGCGAATGGGTTGTGAATGTGGTCTGAATGTGGGCGAATGGATTGTGAATGTGGGCCAATGGGTTGTGAGTGTGGTCTGAATGTGGGCGAATGGGTTGTGAATGTGGGCAAATGAGTTGTGAATGTGGTTTGAATGTGGGCGAATTTGTTGTGAGTGTGGTTTAAATGTCGGCGAATGTGTTGTGAATGGGGGGGAATTAGTTGTGAATGTGGTTTGAATGTGGGTGCATTGTTGTGAATGTGGGTTAATTGGTTGTGAATGGTTTATGAATGGTGTATGAATGCTGGGCTAAAGCGGCTGTCGTGTTTTGGTGAAGCGCAGTGCGGACGGATTGACCGAATGACGGACGGACAAACGGACGGACAGACGTGTGTAGTGGTGCATGGAGGCAGGAATGGACGAGCGCAACAACTCGACAAAAGGGTCAGTGTAAACGCCTTACCTGCATTTGGGTTGGTCGCCGAGGCGGCATGTCGCCTGCCGGCCAAACTTTGACCCATTCCCATTCCCAGTCCCAGTCCCACTCCCACTCCCAGTCCCTGTCCTTGGCCAGCCAGGCCCGACAAGCCGTTGCCCACGCCCACTTTTGGGCTTGTCTCCGTAGCAACCAAGTCCGGTCTGATGGGACCTCGTGGCTCGAAGCCTTTCGCGCCGGAGTGTGTCGACGTGGCGAGTCCTGCTGAAGCGTCGAGGCGCGAGGCCAGCGCGGCGCCGCGTCGGCCGACGAGGCTGCGAGCCTCCGGTCCGCAGCCCAACAGACTCGGACCAGCCTCAACGGGTCTGGCTCCGAGTCCCGCTTCGCCGCAGCCCCGCACGCCTCGTGCCTTTTCAGCCTCTCCCGCTCCCTCGCCACTTCCGGCCGTCGGCTCATCGGCCCTCGTCGATTCGGCCTCTTCTTCTACTTCGAAGCTCGTCTCGCTCGTCGCCGTCTCCGTCTCCGCCACCGCCACCGCCACCGTCTCCGTCTCCGTCGACGTCGCCGTTGCCGTCGCCGTCGCCGTTGGCCTCGGCGATGTCTCGGCCTCGGGCGAAGCGCCGCAGTCGGTCTGCATGACGAATTGACACGGCGACTGGTTGCCTCGACCGTCCGGTTTGAGCGGCGTCACGACCGAGTCCGTCTCGTTCGGCGACGTCATTTCGTCGACCTCCGCGGCTGCGTCGACTCGCGTCGACGACTGTCTGTGCCTGTGTTTGTCTGTCCTCCTGTGTCCTTCTCGTGTATGCGCTTCTGCGTCTGCCGATCCCTCTCTTTCCAGTGCACCCAACTGTGTGTGTGTGTGTGTGTGTGTGTGTGTGTGTGGTGGGATAAGTCGAG